ACTTTTTCAAAACCCAACTCTCATGACATTAGAAAGAGGATCATGAAAAACCTATAAAAAAATGGTTCATGAAATTTTAGTTCACTCATAAAGCTAAAGTCCGGCTGCTCTAGCAAAAAATGCCCACTGTGACTCAGCAAATGGATTCGACGAAACAACGAGACAACGGTCAAAGAACTGGCGCAAAAACTGCTTCAGGACCGAGGTCAGCACGTGGGCCGATGGACGGTACAGCGCCAGCTCAAACAAATGGCTACAAGGGTACTTTGCCATACGCTACGCCAATGCTGACACAAAAGCAGAAAGATGCGCGTGTCCAGTGGGCAATTCAACACAAGGACGACGATTGGAGCCGAACAATATTTACCGACGAAATCTGTTAACAATTATTCAGAAACACTATTCGTCGATGGTCAAAGTATCCAAGGGCCGAGGTCAAACGAATTCCGAAGAACAGACAAAAGATTATGGTGTGGGTGGCTTTAGTGTCAAGGGCCTAGTCGGCTATCATTCGTTCAAAAGTATTATGGATGGTCCCTACTACGTTCAAATTCTTCAAGATCACCTTATTCGCAACGCCAGAAGGCAATTCGGTCGACGATGGCGAGTGCAGCAAGACAATGATCCGAAACACAGAAGCCGAGTGGCAAGGCAATTCCTATGCAACGAAGTGCCCGAAATGATCGATTGGCCGTCGAACAGCCCCGACATTAATCCAGTGGAGAACCTCTGTTCGATCATCAAACGTCGTGTCGCGATGAGAAAAGCCCTCAAATCTCGATGAACTGGACAGATTTCTACACCAAGAATGGGAAGAAACCGACTTGGTCACTCTGAATCATTTGGGCGAATCGATGAAAGCACGATGTTTAGCTTTGATTGATTCAAAGGGAGAGAGGATTAACTATTAATTGAGATACTTTTGTGCCTTGTACCATGCCCTATCTATGTACATATTCGGTTTTAATATCCGTCATATCCACCCTGATAAATACTTGAAATACTCAGGGCAAAGACTTTTGCACCTTACTGTATACATATAATATCTGTCACATGAAGACTGTGATAACAGAGAGAAAGTAATGTTAGACTCCTTTCATATTATACATCCTTGTTTCCTTCTGTTTTCTGTGCTACAGTCAGAAAAGACTACGGCTCTAGTGAAAGAAATAGTATGATACAACAACGAACAGCAGATCAACAATGACTGATGTCTGAAAGAAATTAATAATTTCTTTTGTCGTATCATTTTCAGTTTTTAGCATTCATGGGTACTCGTAGTAGACATTATGAATAATAGCCGAACTAGAAAGTTAACTGAATTAAGTGGATAAAACACATTACAGATGGAACAACTGTACCTCTCTGAAACAAAAGCTCGTTCAACTGATAGAGGGAAGATACTATTCAAGTCTTAAAAGAAAACTGTAAGCATTTGGTACCTAATATAATCTGTGTTCTTAACTGATGGTGTCGAATGTTCGTGTTTCGCCATTCGAGACACGTCGAGTGACAGATGCAGACCAGTAGCCTTGGATAATCGCAGTAGAGTGAAACTGCAATACTTACACTTAGCCGACAACAACGGTATGTCTCTCCATCTAGATGCTTCTCATCAAGACGTAGAGCTCGATTGCCAAATATTTATCGTTTCTGTTAAATATAGTCAAAGTTTTGGACAGGGAACATTTTAGCAGGAAATCAGGACCAAGCTCGAATCCGAGTTTTTTTAACTCAAACAACCAAAGTCTGAGCCCGATCTGAAGTCGGAACCCGGACCTGGACTTCCGAATACAGGCTAAAGTTTTGAACCAGCACTCCCAAGCCTGAGTTCGAGCTTGATGCATTCCTTTTCAAAAAGTCCAAAGACTGACAATAAGCAGTGACTATTACCAGTTTTTTGTTACATTACATTTACTCAACTCGCGTCTTCATCGCCCTCTTCTCTTACAATCACGACATGATACACGATCACGTCGTGACATCAGTACAAATCCTATCCACCGTTTTAGTTTGCTTAGGTGCCTAGTATATAACTCACACTGATTTTCCGAAAATTTTCAAAATCTTCTGATATTTTAGTGACTAAGCACTAACAGAAATGGAGAAAGGTGGCAGAACAAAAAAAAGGCATCGCGTTAAGACTAATATAAGTAGGTAAAACCGACAAATCTGCAAGGTGATGACACAGCTAGAAGGAAGCAAAAGAAGATCGACACGAAAGATCTTTTGTGAGGAACCATACCTAATTCGGATGGCAATAGTTTAGACCATTTTTTGGTTTGACTTCTTGCTTTTTTCCTCTAGCTGATTATACAAAGCGATCTCAATCAGAACTTAACAGAGAAATAAAGGAGAAAAAGCAACCGACGACGAGGATGAGATTCGAACTCACGCTCCCAGAGGGAAATGGATTAGCAGTCCATCGCCTTAACCGCTCGGCCACCTCGTCTGATGAGCAGTGATCTCCTGCTTCTATCCTAAGAGACAATAGTACTATTTTGTATTGAATAAAGTACATTCATCAATAGTACATTTCTGATGGTAATTAGTTACTGAATGAAGATTTGAAAATTTTCCGGAGATCAGTGTGAGTTATATACTACCCAGGTCGATTTGCGCGCGAAAGTCGCGGCACGAACGCGCTACGCGATCGCTATAAACTCGCAGACTCGTGAAATAAGACTCGGTTTTAGCGATCGCTATAAAGTCTTGCTATAGTGATTCTCGCGACAAGATCTTGCTAGTTATATAAGAAGATCACGTTCTCGCGGCGCGAGTCTTGCCGTGTTTTTAAAATCGCGACGCGAGTTAGCATGGGTCGTGGTCAGTCGCGTCGCGAATGCTGTTATGCAAATCGGTTCTACAAGAATCCTGCATTCTCGCGATAAGTTTCTGCAAGAGTCGTGTATAGTCGCGCCAGATTTTTTCTGCTCCTAGTTTCACCCTACCTTTTGCTCGTTTGATAGTTTTTCCAGAAACAGAAATTGCCTACAGTGTTTTAAGAGGAGTGCGTCCTTCGCGTCGCTGCTTTCAAGATTTGAATCTCTCCAAAGACATCTCCTTAGATTTATCCGATCGAAAATAGCTTCAGATCATTTCAGACCTCAGTGTATACAGTGTGCTTTTCTTGCTTGGAATATCAACTAGCCTTGTGATAAAGCTGCCTTAAGTATACCAGGTTTTCTTCTTTGCTACATGTACATTCAACATTATTTACGATAAATCACAGTAAAATCACAAAACAGAAAAATAAGAGAAAATAGATAAAAAATAATATAAACATATTATATATTTAATATTCTATAATTATAAGATATAATCTTTTCTGCGGAAAAATATTTATGGCTCAAGCTTTATATCACAATGTAGGCCACACTTGGATGTATTTAGACAGCAGATTCTGGTTTCGAGCCTATTCTTTTTCCTAGAATATTTTCCCAAAACCGGTTTTTCAGAAACTCAAAACCGTAAAGATCTCCTTGGAACATTTTTTCGCCCTCTTCAGATTGTAGCCTGTAAAATTCTGATTAAAATGAGAAATCTTTCAGCTTTGTAGGTATTTTTCTGAACGAGATGCGAATTTCACAAAATTCTCATAGGAACATACATACCTATAAATTCCAAAACGGGGCGGGTTTTTAAAGAAATTCGCATACTATGCACAATATAAGTTCGCTGCGAACTCAAATTTAGTAGTCTTGTGATCAGTTCGCAGCGAATTATATTCTATATATATATATATATAAATAAACATATATGTATATGAATTATGTATAAGGTATATATATTCTCGTAGGTTTGGAGGCGTCTAGGTATCATAGATTAGATATCTCAGGCTTTTTAAGTTTTTAGGTATTTAGGTTTTTAAGTATGACTCAGATAGCTAAGATATATACATGTGTCACCATGTAGATTGTATATGTAATCCTGGAAAGCTGTCCATGGGAAAAAAATGACAGAAAGATGAGTTCACAGCGAATGCAAATTCTCTGTCGCTATGTCAGAGTTTCAATATACTCGTGGAACAAAAAATGTTTACCACATCAAACTGAATACAATTCAAGCGGTTCGGCCGTGAGTTTCATTTCTAGATAGAGATATTAAATTATCTTTAGACATGTTTGTGATTTGAATTAAGAGTACTGGTGTTAAGTCGAACGAAAACACGCAAAATATGTAGAAAAATGAGCCTGGTCAGAAAACAGTGTCGTCTGGCTACCCAAAGGTCGGAATCTCGCTATAATCTTAAAACAAAAGTTATCCATCAGAGAATAAGCTACAATCTAATAGTGGTTGAGCCGTGACCGAGAAAATTTTGCTAAACTATGCACAATATGAGTTCGCTATGAAGTCGGATGTACCGAAGCAAAAAATCATATGAAAATATCTAGGTATTTAATTGTAGTATTGGGCAATACGATGCCCAATATGTCTAGATAACCTAATAAAAGTGACACCTGTACCTAGATATTTCATCGCAGGATTGGCCAATACCACAACAAATTATCTGGATACTTCACAAGATTTCTTACTTGGACATGTGGTAAATCTAATATCCAGAATCGGGTGAGATACTGGATTATTTAGATATATCGACTACTTTATTGAGTTAACTAGCTTGGGTTGTCCAACACTCAATACTGTCTTTTTACTTGTATACTGGTATATCGGGTATTGGACTGGCTTACCTAGGTGAGATTGTCCAATACTTGATACTTTTGAGATTGAGTTCGAAAAGTAGTTGCATGGTAGTTTCAATTCTTGAGATACCCAATATACCTTAAATACGTAAGGTATGTGGAAAAAAACAGTCACAGAAAAACAAGTGACTTACGCACGTCCTCATCGTTCTAGATTTCAGTAACCGGAAACAACTAGATTGGTTATCATCTTTTAACAGATTGTATACCTAAATACTTAAGAGGTCATGCACCATTTCAGTTACCTAAATACCTCAATACCTGAAAACCAAAATACCTAGAAACCTAATTACCTAAACACCTAAAAGCCTCAGATACCTATGATATATACATGTGTCACTATGTAGATTGTATACGTATCCCTGCAAAGCTGTCCACTGAAGAAAAACGACAAAGGAATGAGTTCGCAGCGAACGCAAATTGTGCACGACCTCGAATTTCGTGACCGTTCCTCTTTCATCATAAAAGCTTGTTTATTGCGTAGATCCATAGCGAATGGTATGGACAATATTTATTCAGAGAAAATAGAAAAAAAATTTTGTTTTTTACCTCCCGTTATTGATTAATTAGCTCTAATTAGCATTAATTTGTGCTACCTTACTCTCTTAAAGTGCTATTTCTAAAATAAAGACTCGATGAATAAATTCAAGCAATACCTCATCTGATAGAGAATTTCACGGGCTACAAAACAGGCCATCTTAAATCTGTGTGTACTCAAGAAGTTCAAAGTAGAGTTCATTTTTAGAGAGAGAGACAATTTGTGGAATATTCAGGGAATATACTGTAGGTTCCTATAAGAATTTTGTGCAATTCGCATCTCGTTCAAAAAAATACGTTCAAAGCTGGAAGACGTCTCATTTGGGGGTCCTAAGAAATCCGATGTCATGCCTAAGCGATGGAAATTCGAGAGGTCGAAGGATTCATTTCACAGAAGACACTCTGGGCTACCTATCCATGGAAAATATTTTGTCATTCAAAATGTTGTTTTCATCCCGACAAGCAACCTGAATCTCCTGGAATAAATAGCAGAAGAGGCTTTATCATTAACTTCCAAAAAGGTCGACTTTAAACTTTACGACCT